ATCTGGAGCACTTCCGATCCCATTTGCTATACCGAGCTGCAAAATGACCATTTCATTTCCCGGTGACGTAGCTGTGCCCGATGAAAACCCCGTTAACCCCAGGCGAACCGCCATCACCAAATTGCAATCCTGCCTGCCATTTTGCCGGGTCCCGTCGATAGAATTTTTTTGGGTTGTGGTGACTTTAGTCGGAGGCGGTAACGGCACGGGCTGTGAAGGGTGTTAGTGTGTTGTACTCTGCAGTTCCGCATCTCCATGAAGAACATACTGTAGATCTTCATCTTGCTGTGTCCGACAACCTGCTTGATCTGACCCTTCTCCTCGAGGTCCTTGAGGCATGTGCGGGCGAGCGAGCCGTTGATCTTAAGTCTGTCGACGAGGATGGCAACGGTGACGAGGCGGTAGGACTGGACGTCTTTGTAGAGCTTGTCGGAAGTGGCCTTGTCAAGGATGACGGCGTGCTGGGCCTTGTCCTTCACTGTGGGAGAGATGCAGAGTTAGCATCGCTGCGGACATCGAAAAGGTGCAATCGGACAGTGGAAAAACCGTACCCTTTCCCTTGGACCACTTCTTCTTCTGCTTCTTAGCACCAGTCGCTGCGGGAGCCATGTTGTCGATATGTTCTGGTGGTTAGGCAGAATGAGGTTGTTGTCGACGTTTCGACTGCCAAAGGCGGGGAGGTTTTTCCCAGACAAGGTCGGTCGCGCGCGCCCCAGCTTAGGTCAACTGAGCCCTAATAAAAACCCTGGATTCTGAGTGGTCGGCAGCAGACCTCCCCCAAATCTAGCGGGGCCACCAAAAAATTCACGACACCGAACCTCTAAAGTATTCCTGATTCTTCACGCCAAACTTCAATCCACCAACACCCTCGCATTCAGTCGATTTGCAAGCATGTCTGACGGCGAAATTGAGGTCGAGGCCGTCTCCGGCTACGAGGTCCTTCCTAAGGAGGTGCTCGCCGAGATTGGCAGCGTCAAGCTGTTCAGTACGTCGCACGCCCTTTTTCCTGCACAGCTCCTGCACCACATTCTGGATTTCGAGGCTGCACAACGCCATCGATGACTTTGGAAGACGCGATTGCTAACAGGTTTCTCAATTACAGACAGATGGAGCTATGAGGACGTCGAGATCCGAGATATCTCCCTGACGTAAGAAGACCCCAGCAAACCGAGAGGACGACGAGCATCGACGGCTGCAGGCGCATCAGTCCCCAGCAGGACGGGTGCTATTTTGTCAGATGGGAGGCTAACCAGGTGTTTTTGCGCAGCGATTACATCCAGATCCGGTCGCCCGTCTACATTCCTCACTCCGCCGGTCGCTATGCCGTCAAGCGGTTCCGCAAGGCCAACTGCCCCATCATTGAGCGTCTTACCAACTCTCTAATGATGCACGGCCGCAACAACGGCAAGAAGCTCATGGCCGTCCGCATCGTTGCGCATGCCTTTGAGATCGTGAGCCAGCCTCAGATATATGGTAGTGATGAGCAGCATCTAACCCGCGTTGTAGATCCACCTCATGACCGACCAGAACCCGATCCAGATTGCCGTTGACGCCATTGTCAACTGCGGACCCCGCGAAGACTCCACCCGTATCGGCTCGGCCGGTACCGTCCGGAGACAGGCTGTCGATGTGTCACCCCTGCGCCGTGTCAACCAGGCTATCTCGCTGCTCACAACCGGTGCCCGCGAGGCGTCGTTCCGCAACGTCAAGTCGATCGCCGAGTGCCTCGCTGAGGAGTTGATCAACGCTGCCAAGGGTAGCAGCAACTCTTATGCTATCAAGAAGAAGGACGAGTTGGAGCGTGTCGCCAAGTCTAACCGGTAAAGTGGTTACTTAGGTGGTAGAAATGGCTTGGGGGCAGGAACGGGTTTTATGGCATGTTTTGCAAGGCTGCATTTGCGCGTTACGGACTGGTGGATGCGGTTATCACGGCATTCTTGTCAAACAGGCAAAATCTGGACTCTCGGTAAATGAGATGAATTGGTGGTTTCTCAAGCAAGACTCATAAAAGCCTCGGTGGTTCATTCCATAATGTGTGCTGTGCTATCTGGTCCTGTCTAGTCAATGGCCATTTTTGTCCCGATATTACACCTAGCGTGTTGAGTCCAGACCATGTCATTGCTTTGCAGTCCCATATGTAGCCGCCAAACTCGCTTTCCGCCCTAAGCTCATCAAATTCCAATGCATGTCCATCACTCCTTCCCCAGTTCCTTTCTTATCCGATTTCATCCATGAGTTCCATTGTATTAATGAGCCTTCCTTTTCCCTTCCCTTTTCCGATCCCAGCAACCCCTTTCTTTTCCATATCCTACACACGCACAGCGGCGCTCAAGCGGGCCATGTGATCCTCGAGACGTTGACACCCGCCTGCAAAGGCGTCTCTTCTGGCCGCGAAGGCATTCTACCGCTCTCACTAGGCCCTTGGCCTCCCACCATCATCTCTCCTGGGAGTCGTGGTGGGAGGTGGCGCGGTCGACGAAGTCGTTGTTGTCCGCGTCCCAGGGGTAAGCCGTCTGGCGCTGTTCAGCTGCAGTGAGGCCTTTGACGAACTTGGGCGGCGCCTTAATGTGGCGGTGCTTCTCTTCGGCCTTCATAGCCCGCCACTCGTCCCACGAGACGGCGATGTTGAAGACTGTGGCGCCCACGTTGGTGAGCTGGCCGTTGTGGTAATGGCCTCCTTTGCGGGGATGGGGGGCATGCGGGTATGGGACCAGTCGGGTGGCGGCTATCGGGTAGCGGGCCTTGTCTAGAGATAGGGATAGAGGCGTAGGCCACAACTGAGATGGGGCCCGTGTTGTCAGTCTTTGTGCTTTCAGAGGACTCAACTCGATCGGGGAAGGCACACGCGATTCAGAGTCAACAAACTCGGGGGACTCAAAAGCTGGGGGGCTGAAAGGCTCAGGGGACAAAAACAGTTGGGGGAGGCACTCGCGGGCAACCAACTCAAAATCAGAGGACACGAAGACTTGAAGATCTCAGTCAAATGATCGGGGACGGCATACGCGAGTCGGGTCGGAGTCAACAAACCCAAAGGACCCAAAGTCTGGGGGGCTGGGGGGCTGGGGGGCTGAAAGGTTCAGGGGACAAAGACAATCGGGGAAGGCACTCGCGGGCAACCAAACCCAGAGGGCACAGTCAAACCATTGGGGAAGGCACTCGCGGGTAACCAACTTGAAACCAGAGGACTCAAAGACTTCGGGAGCAACAAGCTCGGTGCACTCAACGGACAAAAAAGAACACACGGCGAACTTAGTCATAGGAGGCGAGGGGTATACGACTTTCGAATCAACAGGCTTAGTGTACTCAACGGACGGGAAAGAATACGCGGTGAACTTAGTGATGGGAGGCAAGTGGTACCCGAGTTCGAAACCAACAGGCTTGGTGGGCTCAACAGACGTGAAAGAACACGCGGCAGACTTGGTGATGGGAGGCGAGTGGGACTCACAGTGAACAGACCGCTGATCTTGGGGGCTGTACTCGCACGCAATGCCGGCGCCCTCGCCACCGACGGCCGCTCGGATAGCCATGACGTCTACGAAGACGCTCGGGATCCCGGCTTGGTTCCGCCGCTCAGAGCCGGCATCGGTGCGGCATGGTCCGTTGGGGCCGGTGGTGATAATCTCGATAGCGGGAGTTTTGATTGGTGCCATCTTTGCTATCGCCAGGATGTGAGAAAGGAGAAAGGAGAAGGGATCCCAAGGAGAAAGAGGAGATCACGTGTGAAGGCTGTCGTCGAGCTTCTGGTTGTAGGGGGAATGGGAAAAAGGAGAAATAGGAGATCACGTATAAGGAAAACATACACCTTCTAGGTGGCCGGCGAGGTTCCCCAAAGTGGTCACTGCTCACACGGACCAGCGTGCCCACCTTGACCATTCACGGCACTCTCGGCACCGAGATCACGGCCCCACGCGGCCCCGTGCCGACCACCTTCTTAATTGTTGCGTTTGGTGCTGACGCCTTTTTGGTGGGTTTGAGGCTGTCGTTGCGAGCCTAGAAGATGGGGGAAAGGAGGAAGAGGTATCACGTGCGAGGAATTTACGAGAACTTATACGCTGTTTGGGTGGCCGGCGAGGTCCCCAAAAGTAAGGCAGTCATTACTCATGACAAGACCAGCTGCGGTACTTCCGGCGCCGAGATCACGCGATTGCTCGGCGTGCGCCGGCTGTGGCGAAATGAAGCGCCTGCTACTTCATGACCCTCGCAGCAACACCCTTGAAGCTAACGGCGATGGCGCCAGCACCAACTCCGGCCGGAGGGGGAGGGCGAGGGAAAAGTGGTCTGTTTCATTTATGTCTTATCTCAAATATGCCCGTCTTCCTCAGCCCCTGAACTTGAGTGCTGTGCTGACCTGCTTGTGTGCGAGCTCGGACGGTAACTCACTCAATCACTTGCTTTACGGCGATGGCCAAGCGCTGGATCAGGTAATTTCCAGAAGAATACGACCCTGCAAAGAACCCTGGGCCATGGGATCTTGACAGATACTATGCGTCGAGAGTTTTTTTTGGGAGACAATCAAGCAGCCTGTTTGTTAGGGGCGATCACGGGGAGCAAAGCCGAGTGCCAGTCATACTCCTTAGCTTCCTTCCAAGTTACTTGGGCAAAAGGGGCGGTTCACTTCGGCATCACGATGCATCTGCTGTTGAATGACTCGCCACCTTGTCAGTATGAGGTGACATTGTGCCATCTAGAAAATAAATGGACCCGCCACTCCTGCTACCTCTCCTGGCTCAGCAACTTGAACTTCAGACCAACCTCAACTTCAGACCTTGACAATCATACACACCTGCCTATTTTTTCAATTGCCACTTCGAAGTTTCCCCGTAGCAAGATTGCATCATCGTTTGATTGTAACTCAGTCTGTCATTAGCGATGGTGGAAATATCTGCACTTGATAGAGGTTTGTTGAGAACATCATCTATGTGCAATGATCGCATTCCGAGTGGATAGAGTTTGCGGTGCTCCTTGTATGGCGCAATAATCCTTTGAAGCTTCATCAAAAAGGGATTATAGTATAGTGGTCAGTATATCTCATTGTGGTCTTCCGCAAGGTTCTGAGACGACGCAGGTTCGATTCCTGCTAATCCCATATTTTGCCATTTTGACCTCTGATATAAATATTTCTATCATCTTGCTCTTTGCCTATTTGCTTCACAGCTGCTCCGAGCTTTCTCTGCGCAATGCAGTTGACTAGATTGGGCGATGGGGTTCTTATATACCTAGATGGACCAGTTGAGGTGATCCAGGGATAAATAAGCAAAGTTGCTATCCTCTAATACTCCACGTTTTCTAGATCCAATATTAAGTTACACTCTATCTCCACTGGGGTGGGCCCCGGGATGAAGCAGCACATTATTATTGTCATGTCGTCTCAGTTAGATCAGCTGGGTTATTTCTTTCAAGTACTATTGCCTATTTCAGAGACTAGTATCCAATAAAATCACTCACTCGTTATAGATTAGAGACAAAGGTCCAATCTCAACGACGCCAGCATTTTAAAACCATCCATGAAAGAAGGCATTTTGTGAATACCAACCATGATGAAAAGAGACAAGTAATATGCTGCTTCGAGGTTTGAACGGTTATGTATACCCGGTGTCAGTTGTCTGGCGCAAAGAGCAATACTCAACTCACAGCTTCAACCTATCACCGGCATCACTCCACAACATCAACACCACACTATCACAGCCTAAACCCAAGCCATCATGACTGCAATCGACAACAATCTCAATGGCAAACTGGCCCTCATCACGGGTGCTTCAGGGGGGCAAGTCCGCCCCCCTCCCCCCAACTCATCCTCCGCTAACACCCTCCGCCCAAGGATTTCCCAAGACGGGGGCCACCCAAAGCCAAAACCATCTCGCTGCACAAACCCGACGTCAGCAACGCCTCGCACCTCTCAAATCGCACCCAGCACGCGGGCCGGCACCCCGACATCCCAATCTCCAACGCGGCGTGCGCATCCCGTCCATCGCCGACATCACCATCGCCAAGTTTGACGCCACGCTCGCGACCAACCTGCGCGCGGCTTTCATCCTCTCCAAGCTCGCGCTGCCGCACATGCAGGCCTAGAGGTGGGGCCACATCGCCTACGTCTCGTCGCTGGCTGCGCACGGCGGCGGGATCAACGGGGCCACTACGCCGCGAGCAAGGCCGAGCTGTACGGTCTGATGAAGAATCTCGCGAACAAGCATGCGTGGGACGGCATTACCGTCAACGATGTCGCGCGGGTCATAATTCCGGATGGGAAGACTGTCGAGGGGACGGCGGGGTTGGGCGGCTGGGGACGCCGCAGGAGGCTGCTAATGTTGTGGTCATGTTTTGCGAGACAGGGTATTTGACGGGGCAGAGTGTGTTGCTGAGTGGGGGATTGAAGTGATGTATCATTGGTGTGCATTGGCCAAGCATCAAGATGAAATCAGCAGTGGACCCATGTCAATTACCCCTTTTATGTCTCAAGGGTTCTTTGACCTTCGTAACTCCTGAATCTTACAAGTCCACCAAAACAACTACGCCAAACTGGATTATGGGGGATCTCTAGTCCTGAGATACCATTCCCCATCAGAAGCTCTACTATCCCCCGTCGTGGTCGAGAATGTCCGCCGTAATGGTGAGCTAGGCTGCTCCGCGCTAGTATTCCACGACAACGGCGTAGGAACCTGTCGCGATGCGCTCGGGGGCGCTAGTGCATCGTCGTCTGAGTTTCGGAACAGAGCGTTGTACTCTTCGTCGCGGTCCCCAGGGCTGGTTGGCCTGCTCTCCAGCTCGGACGCCAGCATGGAGAACTCCTCGGGCTGCCTGTTCTCCTGTTCATTGACCAGCATCGACCGCGGGTCAATTGCCTGCACTGTCGGCGCCGCCTGTAGCTCGTGTATCGTCTCCGGTATGCGCACCGCTTGCGCTACCTGTGCTGCCAGTAGCGGCGCGGCTGAGTCTGTAAAGGGGTTACCACTCCCCTCAACAACTTGCTCCGGCACAACCTCCGGCGCTGGCCAAGCCTCTTCGGCCATCTCCTCCACCCACGGTCCAGCCTCCGCATCCTCCTCCTCCTCTACGCTCGGAAGATCTTGAACCACCGCCGCCTCCTCTCGTTCCTCCACGCGAGCCGCCCGCACTTCTATCCCACCACTCTCTCCAACCCCAACCCCCTCTTCCCTTTCGGACTCTCTCCTCTCTTCCTCGTCCAAGCCTGCAACATTTAAGCCCCTCCCAAAAGGGTGTGCCACTAGTCGCCTCACATCGTCCCTTTCGAAAGCCGCCCCAGTGACTGGATTTCTGAGCACCCCATCGGCACCTTCACCGCGATGCATCAACTCAGCCGCCAATTCCCGTACGTCCCACGCCCATCCATCGGCTGTGACAAAGAAGCGCTCCCGCGGTATGCCTTCGATAGGGACACGACCACGGAAGGTATGAGTATTGGTATAATGTGCCAGACCGTTCTCATGCGTAAAGTGCGTGAGGGCGTCGAATGATAGGGGGGCGATCCGGGCCGGGAGGGAAGCGGAGACGAGGGCTTGGCGGGTTGCGAGGGCCTGTCTGACCACGTTTTGGCTGTCGCTGGCGTTGCTATGGCTGCTGTTTGCAGTGTTTGGAGGGCGTGGCTGTTCCTGGGCAGATGGCGGTTCATCCTCAACTTGCCGTGTTGACGGCGATGGCAGCACCTCCCTTGGCACCACCTGCGACGTAGCCCACTCAGCGACCTCGCCCAGATCCCTTACCAAAACATCTAGTGCCTTCGGCCTGTCAAACTCCTCGAACGCCGCAACCACCACCTCCCTCGCTACAGCCCTCGCCGGCCTCGGTGGGCGTTTACACACCACCGAACTCAACCTCCCACTCAGCAACGCGCCAAGGTCCTCCATAGCCGCCTCCACCCTCTCCTCTTCCTCCCTCTCCGCATTCGCTACCGGCCCTAACCCCCCAACAACCCTCATCTCCGCCAACAACACCCTCGCCCGCTGCTGCAGCTCCGCGTGACTTGCCGTAAACTCCCTCTCCATCGCGGTCGGCGCCTGACTCCGCTGGCTCCCGACGCTCCCCCTCTGCCGATGCTGCATCGCTACCCCCCGATCCTCAGATCGACTTGTCCTTGAGCTCCCGGGGTCGTACATCGTGGCCCCGCTACCCTGGCGACTCGTTCCGGCCTCGTAGCTGGTTCGACTGGTCCGCGAGCTCTGCGCCGAGGTGGGTTTTTGGTCCCGACTTGGGGTGGGAGGGACACGGGTCGGGCTGGGGACAACAATCTCCGGGACCCGGGTGGGGGGTATGATGATCTCTGGGATTGAGATTGTACGGCCCGCGGAGGTCCTCGTGCTGCCGTACTCGCTCGGGCCGCCGGGACCGGTGCTCCCCGTACTTGCCGTGCCGAGGGTGCTTATGGTGTTGATAGTGCCGAGGGTGTTGCGCGAGTTAACGGTACCAACGGGACTCCGCACCGTTGCAAGAGCGGGTGGTTGCAGTGTCTGCCGAGCTTGCTGGATAGGTTGAAGAGGTGGAAGGGGTTGAATTGGTTGCAGCGGCGGGAGGGTAGGCGGTGGGGCAGCAGGAATCGTGGGCTGTCTTCTGGGACCGACCTGAAGGGAGAACTGGCGCGCTAGGGAAGGAGGCAAATTGCGGAAGGGTTCCGGGGGGTTCGCCGTGGGCGGGGGAGGGTAATCCCGAAAGGAGGATGGATCTCGTAACCAGGGATTGGTTTGCAAGGGCGGGTCACGTAATGAGGGAGGGGGGAGGATGTTATGGGGAGGTGCCGGAGGGGGTCGACGGTTGTTTTGCATCCTATTTTTTCGTCACCGGGTTCGGGACCTGGTCTGGCCGGGGAGCGACGGTAGAGGTGACGGTGATGAGGATCAGCGCCTCACCCGCCCCTGGAATCCTGCCTGCGATGTTGATGTCTGCAAGAATCCCAAACGATTGCGATCGGAAATGCACAAAAACAAGCAGAATCATCCGCTGCGCTTCCGTCGCAGTCAAACCAGATTTGCAGCAGCCCTACACTTTCGAGTTTGCAATGAGAGAGAGAAAGATCCAGCCTCACCTCAGGTTTCCCGAGTCCCTCTTTCCTTTGCCGCCAGCCAGCGGGGCCCGCACGCCTTGGTTAGCGGGGATTCCACAAACGCCACCACAGGTAGGCTACGGGCTCTGCGAGGGAAAGAAACCCCCAAGGTCTGCCTGTTTCCTGCGCAATCCGATGGGGCGGCAGCTGCGCCCACCCTTTCAGCTGGTTGCAGTGCCCGTCACATCCACTTGGAAGCGCCTCGGCCAAGAGCTTTCCGACTTGCGAGTCTGCATCTAGCCTTGCGTTGCCCAGGACAAGGGACCTGAGCCGCGCACCACTTCATAGCCTCGAAAGTTGGGGAACAAGCAAGATCACCAAATAATTCAAGATCATGTCCATTTCCATAGTTTGTGTACTGGATGTTAAATCCAATGGTAACTAACAAGTTGAGATAAATAAAAAAAATAATGACATTGGAAAGGTCATATTCCCAACAGAGCCCTTAAGTCAACAGGTAGCTTCCCGCGCCCAGTTTTTGGTATCAAAAGCCATCCCTCAACACCATATGCCCAGCCCTCTCGAAAACATCGTAGGCCGAACAGCATTACACCACAAGCGACCGCGTAAATGGGCAATAACCAACCCATGCTGACACTCACGCAGCAGCCATCACCCACGGGCTAGTCCTCGGCCTCAACCCTTCAGGCACATCCCTCACAGCTGCCTCCCTCTCTCCCTCTTCTCTTAAAACACCCTCCCTAATTGACAAGAGTGTCCTCCTTACTTCCTCTCTGACCATTCCTGTAGGCGGCGGTGTAAACACCCGCGGAAGGAGCAGTATATACCGTACTGCAACGCGCGACTCCTCACTGATAAGGTGAAACCCCTGCCACGCATGGCCCGCAAGCTCGCACACCAACATCACGTTACGGCCTTGGAGCGCACTCCGCTCCCAGGCCCCGCTATCACTGTCCCCGCAGCTTTCCCTCACCATGGCCGGTTCATCTACCAACGGGATACCTTGAAGAGCCGTCCCCGGCGCACCCGGTGTCTTTTTGAGTCCCTCGGTCAAGACTCGCCACATTTGGTTC